TGTTTGTTTGTTGTGGATTTCCCGCAAAGCTACACGAGGTCTATTTGCGCTAGCCGTCCCTGATTTAGTTGTGTAAGACTAGAGGGAAGGCAGCTAGTCATCACCACCCACCGCCGACTCTTGGGCTACTTTTTTAACAACGAATAGTGGGATTGACCGTTACATTATAACGCCCCCACGGCTGAAAGGGCGAGCATGTTTGGTGTGATGGGGATTCGAACCCGCAGATTGCGAGTCGAGCGCCCTAACCACCTGGCCATTTCGGGCCCGCGATGTGAAGAGAGGAGATTTTTCTTGGCCCTGCTTTTTTTATCCACCAGGAGGATAATTTTAACCCTACGATAAAATGTTTTAAATTTACAATATCTTTTTACTGGTAATTTTAAACATCTGATTCTGTAAACCCCGTTTTTCTCACGCGACCCGTATTTCAGTGATTGTCACGTTCACAGAATTGTAATAATAATAATAGGGATTCTTAATAATCTGGGTTCATATGTACGCAGTATACTCCATTACCTTGTATCCAGTACTTGCATAACCAAGCAACCACACACTCAAAAGGCTAATTTAATATGTAGATTGGTTTTGGGTTTTTTCGCACAAAGCTACACGAAGGCTATCTGCGCTAGCTGTCCCTAATTTAGCAGTGTAAGACTAGAAGGAAGGCAGATAGTCATCACCACCCACGGCCAACAAATAGTGGGATTGATTGTCATATTATAACGCCCCCACGGCTGAAAGGGCGAGCATGTTTGGTGTGACGGGGATTCGAACCCACGACCCACAGATTGCGAGTCGAGCGCCCTAACCACATGGTCATGCAGGGCCTTACTGTGTAGAGGCAGCAAACAAAAGAAAGACGCTTCTATCATGAAGAATACTGTAAAAAGATCAATTAGAACTTCTTAACACCATCTGTGCACTCAAATCTATATACTTTAAAGCACTAAAGATCTAACAGAAATTATTCAGCTTGGTCATGGTAATCGTTTTCAACTAAATACAAATATTTAATTTCTTCTATTCATTAAGTAATGTTCATAAGTATGAAAGCTAAAAATAAAAATTGTTAAGTTTATTTTTTAAAGTAAATATGTGACATTATCAGCCTGATAAAACAAAGAGGTTTACACACGATGTGTCAAGGCTTACTATGCTGTATTATTGTGTATCTGTTTTATTCCCCTTCCCATTCCCGCATCCCACATACACACACACACACACACACATATTGGCAAAATGGCAACGCTAGAAACCGCGTTTCGATACCCGTGGTGGGCAGAGCACAGATAGCCCATTGTGTAGCTTTGTGCTTAACTTCAAACAAGCAAGCAAACAAGGCAAAATGGAATAAATGTGAGCACTTTTATAGAATAAGAATGCTTTCAAAGCTTAATATAAAACTTGGTATTTTACTCTGAATCCATTCACTTTTTTTTAAGTTCATTCAGCCTTGTCCCCCGATGGGACAGCAATAAGTTTACAGACTTAGAACGCTAAAATCCGGGGTTCGATTCCCCCCGCAATGGGCCACGGCAGATAACCCCATGTGGCTTTGCTCTAAAACAAACAAATAAAATCATTTAGCCTTAGTGCATTTATATTGAAAGAGTCTGGATAACAATAGAAATGACTGTAACAATAGTGCAGGACCATGTTTTCTAACCTAAAGATTTTGAAAATATTTTGAATGTTTGCAAGTTACTGCTTTAAAACAAACAAGTTTTATTATTATTATTCAGAAATTTATAAAATAATGTTTGACTTTTTCATATTTTTGGTTCTCATAAACTGATGAAGCTCCTCACTTGAATAAAGGAAAGACGGATAATTCGAATATTGACCAACTCCTCTCTCAAAAGTATATGATTATTATATTCTTATCATTATCACAGAACTAAAGTTAATCTCACATATGCTATATTACAACCACAAACGTTATCTTTTTTAAAACATACATTATGTCCTAATACTGATGTTGGTCAATCATCTGTAGTTGTTAGTCCATTTGGAATGATTTTATCCCCATCTGCATCGCAAGCAGGTCTTTAGTTTCTCGAGTTTTAATTCGTTAGGAGCATTTTATAACATTTGTCTTCTGTTTGAAGATACACACAAACAGTTATAAGAAATGTGTTAAGGTTTATGATGCATCTAAGGTTTGAGTCTTCCAACAGATAAAGGAGACTGAGATAGATATTTCACAAAGGAAAACTGTTTTATTCGCCAGATGAAACTGTCACGGAGTTTCTATGGAAAATTTAAAATCAACATTGAGCTCTGTCTTCAGAGTCGCCTTTTCAGCGCAAGAGCTGCAGGACCCGTCGGAATTTGAAAGACCATTTAACGATTACTGGTAGCATATTTTCATAAGAACAACTTTGCTTAGAACTAAATTACAGTCCTAATCTCCATTATTGTATGATCATTGTAGAGTTAAACCTGGAATAGCTGTTACCAAGCTGTGTCTGATAAGTTTCTGGTTTCTCCAATAGCCACTTAAAAATCAACCTTGCATCCATGTATCATGCTTAGTCCGTGGTTCTCCAAAGCAGCAACTATAACCTTAGGCATGGTTTGACTGCTCGATTTGTCCAACTTGGTAGATCCAGTTCAGGCCCCGCTAGTTTAAACTAGCTAAATTCGCTGCTATCATAACTCATCATTAACCTCCATGCAGCTGTTGCATGAATGATACGTGTGCCTAATAGTCCTGCCTGATAACAGTTTGCGACACCCCCTGTAACCAATGATCCCACGTATCATAGATGAACAGTCGCGCCTTCACTTATGCCTAACTCTGTCTGCATTTATGGTGCCTCTAAGGTAACTGAGACTGGGAAATCCTGTTGTCGTATAAGAAATCATAATGGTCGCATCGTAAAGCCTTACAGCTTCTGCTGCATAGGATCTGGTGGTTGGCATTTATTTCATGCTTGGGCGGTAGTCGTGGATCCTGGAGGCTATTTTGAAATCTGCAGCTGTGGTTTTCACTGTTGTTGATTTTTTTTCCTCTTCTCCAATGCATAATTCATTATGATCACTTCAAACAACTTTGCCACTGCAAGTGCCTCTGTGTGAGAAAAAATGTCCCTCAGATCCATGTGGTGTGTATGAGTTCACTTTACAGCCCTTATGTGAACTTCCCGACGAGACATGGGTCCAATGGGAGACATGCTTGGGATGTTTTCCTATGTAATATCATTAAATTGTTTGTATAATTGTCCCTAAATCACTGAGAGCGAAACACACATTTAACTCATCAGAACACATAGATGAAGATGCATTACTGGCTGATGCATAAGATATGCAAGATCTATTCAAGATAACAGAGGTTCTGGCATCAATTACAATGGATTTTCCACCTCTCCAACTAGATGCCGACAATCCAGCAGCAGTGAAGCTATTGGAATGCATGCTTATCAGAACCTTAATGCTGATGGAGTCCAGCCTTCCTTTGACACAGCCACATGTCTCCACTCCCAAAGTTATACCACCGCAACTAAAGGAGAAGCCATCACAAAAATTGAAGAACCAATCTAAGCGGTTCAGATGTCTCATTAGATGATGTTCTATCATGAGATGTAACAGCACCGGTTTGTTTGTCCACCTCCATAGAAATCATTTCGTCCATAGAACAAATAAAACCTTCCCAGGGTTAAAAAGTGGGAAGAGATCTTCCAAACCACAATATTTAAACATCCAAAACCATGACATCCATGCCGCACCAATAGCAATAATAACACCAAAATTCGAGGTCAACACGGGGCTTCTGTTTTGTCATACGTTCTATCCAATCTCTTTCATTCTTCAAATACATTCAAAAAGCCAGACTATTCAGATTTGCTCCGTGATACATTTTCTGTCGGACCTCCTGTTATTCTGCGGAATTAACCCGATTACTCTCACGTTCAACTACTTTTCATCTTCCATTAGTAGCCCTAATAGGCATTTTTAAGTTGTAGCACTTCTAGAAAGTCAAAATAAAGGTTTCTGTCTTTGGTCATTCCTCTTATAAGTTTAGGCTCAATTACTCCCAAACTATTTATTCAAGTAATTCTATTGTCTCTTTGCAACTGGTAATTCCACTCATGACATACAATCAACCTCTAAATGTGTTCAAACTGTTAGAGCTCATGATTGTTATAGTCAGATTATATATATATATATACATATTAAGTACAAATGTTAAAAAATATGTATATATATATATATATACATATACGCCCCCCTAATGGCACAGCTATATGTCTGCTGACTTACAACGCTAGAAACCCGTCGTGAGCAGACCTCAGATAGCCCATTATGTAGCTTTGTGCTTAACTACAAACAAACAAACAAATAACAAACACACATATAATATATATTCAAAGAACCTCCAGTACAAATAAAGAAGAAGAAAGAGAAAAATTAAGCATTTTCAGCCTTATGGTATCCATACCTTTTGTAGTTTTATCGCTTGTATTTTTTTTAAATATATGTTTAAAAGAAACTAACAAAACTCCATCTCAAAATATCCATTATTGATATTGAGAATGACAGCTTCAAGTACCAAATTTATTCCGGTATTTTTTTACGTTAGACAACAGATACATGTTTACAAATACATCTGTAAATGTAAAGCTGATCCATCCGTATAAAAACTATTTTCATCCATTTAGCAAAAAAAAAAAAATCATCTTTACAACGCTAATCATGATATTTTACATAACTTAAATGAAATGTTTTTTGTTTGTTTTTTGTAAGTTAAAGCTCACATTATATATATATATATGTGTGTGTGTGTGTATATATATATATACAATTTATTTTTCACGATTCCTGTATAGTCTATAACGTTCTCAAAGTGGAGCGATATATATATATATATATCAAAACTACACAAAGGACATCCGCCTTCTTCTTAGTAAGTATAAGTGATTATAATTTATAGGGTCAGCCCTCTTTTCTCACTTGCCTATCATTTGCGCATATGCCCTTTGAACAATCGAGTCAGGCCACTGACGCACGTCATCATTACTAGAGAGGTCTCAGCGGAAGGATGTGGTGGAGTATCGTGACTCGTGTGTTATCGAAGAAAAACTTTGTTAGGATTGGAAAATGTTTTTCTTGAATTTTTTACAAAAGCGAAGCGAAAAATTGAAGTCAGTCTTTCTCTATAAATGGACGTTACATAATTTCGTTTCGTGTCATTTTATATTTTCTTCGAACAAAGCAGAGCGTCTTTATTATAAACCTGTTGGTAAGTGTGAATAATAACTTGTAATAGTAATTAGTACTGTGATTAGTGTGAAGTGCGCAGAAATAGTGGAGATTTTTGACCGACTAGTTTTGAGCCTTGAGCTTCTTTTCGCGTAATTGACTACTAAAGCAAATCCACGTTGGTATCGCAGTATCTGTATGTGTACTATATTATATTTAAAATTATAATTTAACTCTTTGGTTATACGAAATACAAAACGTGTGTAATGTACATACATACATAATGGGTTGTAAAGACAGTAAGCTTGAAAAAAATTGTGACTTTGATAACAAATTTAGTGAAAGTACAATTAAACCAGTGTACGAAGTGAACATTCCAAAAATGAAAGTCAGGAAAGCGCCCAGGGAAAAAGGACGGCATCGTCGAACTGGTACCGGCCGCCAAACAACTGTGGTTAGCAATCCGTGTTCTAATGCCTATTCTCGCGCTGTTAAAAGTAAAAGAAAGCGCCAAACAGACAAAACCGGACAAGTTAGACGTTCCTGTTCGAAAACTGTCTATGACCCCAGGATCACAGCAAGATATGACATTAAAGCTGTTATTGGAAAAGGTAGTTTTAGTCGAGTGGTTCGTGTAGAACACAGAATTACAAAGCAACCTTATGCAATAAAACTGATTGAAACCCCAAAAGGAAAAGAAGCTTTTGAAGCAGAATTATCAGTGTTAAGAAGAGTTAATCACCCAAATGTTATCCGACTTATAGAAGTGTTTGAAAGTAATGACAAAATCTACATGGTAATGGAGTTAGCAACAGGTGGCAACCTGCTAGACAGAATTGAAGCCCATGGGTACTTCACGGAGTCTGATGCAGCCCGGGTGTTACAAATGATCTTATGTGGTGCAAGTTATCTTCATAGTGTAGGTATCACACATAGAGATTTGAAACTTGAAAATCTGCTGTACTATCACCCTGGAAATGATTCGCGTATCATGATAACAGATTTTGGATTTGCTAGCACACGTAAACCTAATGGTAATGTCTTCATGCACACTGTTTGTGGTACCCCACAATATATTGCTCCAGAAATAGTTGCTCGTCGACCATATACGTGTGCTGTTGACATGTGGGCAATTGGTGTCATAACATATATTCTTCTTTCTGGGAACTTTCCATTTGATGCCAAGCAGGATGCCCTGATTTTGAAATTGGTATTGAAGGGTTCTTACAACCTGTCGGCTGAGGTAGGCTACTTACAGTGATTTCTTAAGTTACAAAAGATTAAAATGTTTTTATTTCATCCATCACATTGCCTCATTTGTATTATGTATTAGTGGATGAGTAAGGCTAATGTAAGATCAATAAATCCACAGGGTTTCTGTAAACCCAGACAGATGTTTAACATATACCAGCACATGCATTATTAGTGTATTACAAGAAATGTTCATAGCCGTAATATCAGAGTAACTATATTATGATAAAGTTTAAGCTTATACACTCAAACACCATGTTACTTAATTTGTATCAAAATATTATTATTGTACAACCTACTTAAATATATTAATGAGTTGTTTATTTTTATGGTTGATATTAGTCTGCAGGTATGACTATTAAAAATTTGAGTACCAGTCCATATGCTGTAAAGTACGTGTCTTCTAAGTGTCCAAGATGAAAAGATCAGGATGTTATCTAGATCTTTTTTATGACTGGAACAATGTATTCTTTGTTTCAAACAATGGAATATTCTTAATTCTCAATAGACTTAGTTGTAGCACTTTGCATGTCCTTATAAGTAACAGATGATGTGTACATTTGAAAAATGGGCTTAACAAAGTGAACAATCTTAGCTTATTTCTTGCCAAAATCTTTATCTTGAACTGTTGTTCCATGATATTTTTCAGCATAGGTGGATTATGGTTTAAGGTAAATTTAATGAAAATACATTTATAGATACATAACAAAATTAATCAGGAAAAGCAAATTATGGAAGTTTTACATTTTTTGTCATTATTGGGTATTTTAATTACAAGATGGTCATTACCTCATCATTAACGCAACATATTTGAAAGAACAAATACATGCTGCCCCTTTTGTGTGTATATTAATACAAGTGGTTATTTTTAGTGGTAAAATATTTATTATAGTCTTTTATTACGCAGCACAATATCACTGTTTGGCCACAGCATATACTCAAACTATAGGTTAATTAATTCCAAGAATTAGATAAGTATAAATTTGGTATTATTTAAAGCTTGTAGTAATTAGAAAACAAAACAAATTATGAATGAAGTCTCTCCCCAACCCCTACTGATGTGATTTTATCTGCTGTTTATAAGGTAAATATTATGTGGAAGATGATATATTTAATGAGGGTTATAAAAACTATTTACAATGAACCATTTGCAACGATTTTCAAATGTCTTCATTTCAATAGTGTTCTTGAGAACCCAGAAATTCTTTTTCTATCAGTAATAGAATTTTGAGACATAAAAGTACTAATTACATCAACTGTTACCATAAAGCACACTTTTTAAGTCAGTAAATTGCTTCAATCAAAAGACTTGCATATCGTAGTATGTGACATCTTTTATAAACAATTGCCATTGTTCATTTAGCATAACACCTGGAAAAAGAATGTGAAGAACTGATGCTATAATAATATATATAATGAAGTATTATTAATTACTTATAATTTCATATCCATTTAATTAATTTCTATAATTTGAAAAAAAATCATGTTCTTAGAGATTTGATCAATTGTAAGATTGTGGTTTATTCCTGTTATTGTAAACTTTTATGGTTAATGTATTGGATATTTCAAGCAGAATCGTTACCTTATCTATGCTTACTTTAATGTTATTTTCATTAAAAGTGTTGATTAGAATGTTTAATATATTAGTTCATATTAATCTATTATAATAATATTTTTATTATATAAAGTATCTGAATACTCTGGAAACCATAGGCACTTCAACGAATTTTTACAGAATATATTTCACATGTCATCCTTGTAATTCGAAACAAATTTGGAAACGGTACTTCCATTCTGTTTGAACTCTGCGAACTTCGTGTCATTGTCGATGGTCCGACACTAGTCGTGAATTCATTGCTTCAGATGTTCAGTGTCCCTGATTTTTCTCTTTGTACGTACGTGTCTTGAACAATCCTCAGAAAAAGAAAGCCATGGGTCCGAAGATCTGGCTCACGTCTGCCAATCCAACGTCCTGAGAAGGTGTCATTCAACCACGCTCGGACTCCCTGGCTACAAATAGCCTATGGTTCCAGACTTTTCGAACACCACGTTGAGAGAATTTTTCATTATTAACTCAGTATATTGATTTAGGTCTGACCTAAATATTTTAAGCTGGCCAAATTTGTAAGATATTATTTAGATTATGGTTGAAAATATCGCTAACAGTCAGGACAGTCAATTGATGAAACTATGCTTTCATATCTTAATTAGTAACATTGTAAGAACAATATATTTAATTTAGCTATATTGTATATTCGTTCGGTGTTGGTTTTTAGTTATGATCTATGTTATTGCAAGTACTTTGATTAGAAGTTAACATTACAGTACTATTGTTTACGTGCTACTAAGTAATGCACTGTCCTGAACCTAAGTAAATCACCCCTGTACGTGACTACTGCCTGTTATAAAAAGACACGTGCACTCGCGCTTTGGGAACAACGGAGAATGTCACTGCGTACCAACTGATTTTGTGATTATATACATACATCACCCAGTCTACAGTTCAAGTTAGCGGGTGGGGCACGTCAGTCTTCGTTCGATTGCAAGGCGGGAAATGGTTCGACGTGCTGGAGCAGGGGGAGGGGGTAATAAATGCATGGTTTTTCACGTCATTATGTATAAATGTGATAACAGCTTGCTTCCGGTTACTCTAGTTGCATAGTAGAACCAAATACCACGTGCTGATCTCACTATAAAGACTTCGTCCACATCTAGACAGAAGACAACTGATAAAGTAGAAACTTTTTCTAATAATATAAAAGGTATAGGTGGAAGAATAAAATTTCCTACGTACGATTATTAATTATTTCAAATAAAGTATTTATCAGAATAACAACAACAACAAATCGAAACGCTAGAATTCAAAATGCGCACCATAATAATTTTGTTTGTAATTAAGCACAAAGTTACACAATGGGCTATCTGTGCTCTGCCCACCACGGGTATCGAAACCCGGATTCTAGCGTTGTAAGTCCGCAGACATACTGCTGTGCCACTGGGGAGGCCGTACAGGTTGAAGATATACTTGTTTACATCAGCATTGCCAAAATTGGAGCCATATATCGTAGTGTTGTTTGTCTTCTACAAAATTCATATACACGGGAAAAAAATAGTCCTGACATTTAATATCAAACTTCATTAAAGTTGACTTGTGCGTACCGTGAAGCTTAAAAATTGATAGTAAGTTTCTATAGTAACGAAATGTACATGACATGTTCATGAAGAACGTTAGTTATCTACAGCTGAAACTCCTGAAATGAAAAAATAAAAAGCATTTCTGAGTAAGAAGTGTAATTTAGATAAGAATGTTGAAGGCAGTAGTTTGAAAAGAGCCCCAAGTGATATATGCCAGACACCCTCTGTTAATTCTAATCCTCAACAATGTGCGGGAAACAAAGACAATAGCCATTTTTAGGCGTCATCTTGGGGTCTTGCCGAGGCCACGTGCTTCTTCGGCCCATTACTTGAGAGTTGGGAGACGCCAGATGTGACAGCAAGGTCCTTCTTTGATTAGTTTTGAATTACTGAACATCCTTTATGTCCATGTGCCTTCTCAAGACTGTTGTATCATTTGCCAAGTATAGAACACACGCGTATATTTTATATATTAAGTATTCTTCAAAATGAAATTAAAAAAGATATTTTGTTTTTTCACTATTTCTCTGTCTTTGTGCATGTGTATGTAGCTTAATTAATAATATTTGTGTAGGTTGAATAAAACTTAATTGACAGGTTAGGAGTTTCTTCAGAATTGTTAGGTTTGTTTGGTAAATGTCAACATCACAAAAACGTTACCGTCGTTCTGCGTTGTTGGAAATTTGGTTGATGGTATTTTCAACACGAACAGTAGTTCATACGACATGGACATGGCTTCAAAGTCCGAGAAGCCACAGTTTAGGCACAATTGTTCTTAAAGTAGAACTACTGACCAGAAGGAGGGTAACAAGTCAGCAGTATCCACTCCCAACGAGGCTACTTATTATTAAAAATTAGTGGAATTTGAAGATTATGTTTCGGATCAAGTTATATGTCAATGATATTCCTAGAAATTCCATGTGGAGTATAAAGAAAATTACAAAATGTGTTCATTACGTGTAACTGATTCGTATAGCATATGATCTTTGACTTCGTTTTGGTCGACCTTTAGTTTCCATATTCTTGGATAACTTTCAGTTGAAATAGTTGTATAGTTTACAGATATATTTTTTATAACTTTCTAGTCATTTGATCGTTTCTGCTATGTATGTAAACAACATAATAATATCAACGATTTATGAAAATGGTTCTGTGTAGATCAATTTTGATGTAGAAATTCTTGGATAACTTTCAGTTAAAATATTTGTATAGTTTAC